AACATCACACTGTGCAGAAACAGTGATGCTTGAAGCTGCCAAATTAGTGAGATAAGCTCCTATGGCCTTTGTGCACACTGGCTGTCTGCTTACTTTCCAGACAGCCTTTGTCCAGCTGCAGTTCCTGCCGTCAGCTCTGTGCCCCTCCCCCTGGGTTCCAGCTGCCTGGGCGGTTCCAGGAGTGGAGGACAGAGCGACCAGCTCCTCCCACCATGGTCACGTGGCCCGGCAGGCCAGGCAGGGTACCACAGACAGGTAGCAGGAGCCATCACTTAGCAGCCTTCTCTAGAGCTGTGGGTTCGACTCAGTTTGGCCACTCAATGCTGAATGTGGATGTGATCTGCCATCCTTGGGCCTTCTGCTACCAGAGCCAATGTGTCCTCATAGATTTGGATTAAGGTAGTTTGAGTTGGAGATTTCTGATACTTTTTATCTAGAGGAGTCCTAAACAGATACATGCTATGGCTCCTAACTGCCAACCACAGGGAATTAAAGACCCCTTTGTGTTCCCCATATACTCCAAGCAAACAAGAACGTGAGGAAATACCCAGAGAAGGGCAGGGACAAATGCTGTGTCCTGTACCAGGTGCGCGGGTATTGGGAGCTGCCCCTGCAAAGGGGGTGGGTGGGAAGGAGGCTGCAGCCTAAGGCCTGACTCCATCATGCCAGCGATTTGGGGTGTTTCAACATTTTGAGACTGTCATGTGGATCATGTGATTACCCAGAAATTGCTTTGACAAAATTAACTTTACTGAATATCCTATAGACACGAATCAACAACCTCTTTCCTGACCAGCCTCATTTTCACAAGTGGCTCGAAGTCAATCAATGTAGAAGTTGCTCTCTCCCACAGATTCACAAGGGAAATTTTGTCCCAAAATATGCAGTGGGAGTGGAGTATGATATGCACTCATCCAAAAGCCAAATGTCTGGCTGGGGTTAGTGGAGATCAATGTGCTTTCCCAGGACAGAAGCTGGGTTAGGTGGCTTCCCTGGCTGTTATGGTCACTGTCCAGAAGGTCTGAACTGATACACTTAGCTCAAATAATTTGAATGATACTCTCATTTCTGTGTACATAAAACATTGAATTGTTAGAGGAGAAATTTTGTCTTTACTTTTTGTGTATGAAGTGCAGGCTTTGTATGCATGTGGGCCTCTTTTTCCCACAATAACCATGGGAGCTAGGGACTAAATCCCCAACCCACAGAAGAGATGAAATGCAGAGAGGTTGAGTAACGTGCTCAAAGTCACAGAGCTGGGAGGGGTGGCACTGAGACATTAGCCCAACAACCCAACTCAGGATCTACACTCTTTTAGCCACAGCACTATGGTCCCCTTCCCTCCTGCTGTGGCCGTGAGCTGGACCTGGGTCACATGGGTTGAGGCTCCAGGCGGGGCCCACCCTGCACCACTACCATAATCTGGGCAGTTGGTTTAGTTTCTCCGAAGGCCAGGGCTCTTCCAATGCAAAGACAGACAGGAGCGATTTGTAAATGGCGAATAACCACAGGGAAACCCAGCGTCACTACTGCAGCATGGAGCGCAACACCAGCCTCCTGTGCCAAAGGGGGAGACCACCGCGAGCCCCACCATGTGAACAAGTGGCCCCAAATTGTCCTATTAATTTGCTTTTGTTGAGAGAAAAGCGTACCTGTGGCTATAAGGAGGTAACTGAGTGCTCATTCTCCGCGACATGCAGACACCACATGGCTGACCTCTGGTGGGGGAGGCAGGTGCTCCCTAGAGGTACAGAATTTCTTCCTGTGATCCTCATGGACCCGTGGCTGCTGTTTAATATTTACCCACTGCGACATGGAGCATCGTGCAGGACAGACCATGTGCTAGGTGTATGCGTTTACTGGGACTGCCATAACAAAAGACCTGCGTGGCTTAAGCAATAGACATTTATTACCTCACAGTTCTGGAGGCTGGCAGTCTGAGACCAAGGTTTTGGCAGGGCTGGCTTCTCTGATGGCTCCAGTGAAGTGTCTGCTCCAGGCCTCTCTCCCAGCTTCCGGAGGTTCCTTGTCCTGTGGCAGCATCGGTCCAGGCTTCACGTGGTGCTCTCCCTGTGTGCGTGTCTGTGTCCAAATTTCTCCTTTTATAAGTACACCAGTCCTACTGGATGAGAGGCTGACACTACTCCAACATAGCCTCATCTTAAAGAATTACACTTGCAATGATTACTTTAAGACACGGTCACATTCTGAGGCGGTGGGGGTTAGACTTCAGCATATGAATTTATGGGGGGGGCATACAATTCAACCTACGAGACCCACCGAGAGCATGAGGTGCAAACACTTGTGTCTCAGATAACTTCCCTGCCATCCCTGGTGCACACTTTCCATTTGAAGTCCTTCTCTTTCCAACCTGACGAGGGGGAGAGAGCATCAACATATTCGCAGTGCAAGTCCATACCATGACGACAACCACCACAGACTCCTCCCGCCCAGGGCTCAGCAGCGTGGGTTGGAGTGAGAGGCTCCAATCTCCCACCAGACTGGCACATCCTCTCTGTGACTTGGGGCCAACTCCGGAGAGTCTGTAGGTCTCTGCTTCTTCTTCAACAAAACAAGGGGGAGAAAATTTGCCTTCCAACATGCCATGGGGTGTCAGTGAATTGACAGAGGGGAGAATGTGCGTAAACCATACCACACCACGTAGCCCTGAATACTTTATTAGAATGGGCATGTGTGGCAGTATGCAAAGGGTATTGTACCCATGAATGAATCTCTTTTCATCCAAACCCCGGCATAAATCCTTATTTTTGAAATGCTTTGAAAGCAATTAATGCCAATCCTGCCAATAAAATCTTTTAAGTGGGGGAAGAGTCGATAGTCAAAATAGGTGCAAGTATTTGCTATTTATTTGTGAACTGTGCACCTAGACAACTTTATCATACTACTTTCATTTTCACATAGGTTGATCATTTTTGGATATTATTCAGCTTTATTCAGTTTTGCTTTCATAAAACCATTAAGATATAAAAACACACCACAGCATTTAACAAGAAGATCTACACTTCACACTTAATACTTGAAAAATCTTGCAGACTTTGCTACTATTTGGGGACAAGCAGGGGATCTGGGGGAGGGAAGATGGTGCTTTACCAAGTCAGTGACAAAAATGGATTGGGCCAGGCCACCTTCCTAGTGTCAGTGCTGCTCTCTAGGGGCTTCAGCTCAAAGAGGGGAGGGGGAAGACAGAAGGAGAGCAAATGAGGCTATGGACTGGTGGGTATGAACTTTCCTGGGAGATTGGGGACTGGGGAGAAAGCAATTAGCTGTGCCAGAGGGAACCAGGAAGGCTTCACAGAGAAGATGCTCTGCTGGGGAGGCCATTCCAGGAGGAGGGGCCAGCTGGTCATCAAGTGTTTGCTGAGGGCCTTTGGTGTGAGCTGTTGGGAACAAGGGATAGGAAAGTGTCCCTACCATAGGCAGAGATGTGAGGTACCATCATCTACAACTATCAGGTTGAAGCATATGAAAGAGTTAATGTGTGATCACTTTGAAAGTTTTACAAAAATGGCAATGTCATGAGGTTCAGCTGAATCCTGATTCCAGAGAAAATGGAAATGCCTCAAATTGTAATCCTTGTGCCAATATAACATCATCTGGGGCAGTGTTGAAATCCTTGAGAGCCACTGGAATCCCTGGGGTACTTTAAAATAGACCACTGCCTGGGCAGATCGATTAAACCCAGGTTTCTGGAAGCGGGGTCTCCTGCAGGGGCCTGGTCTCCTGGTCTCAATGATTTCATGGCATCCCCAGTTCCTGGTCCATCCACTCCCACGCATGAGAAGCAGCCCAGTTAATGGAGGGGCGGGGCCTCCTGCAGTCCTTACTCCTTTCCAGGCCCTCTGAAGGGAGCTGATCAACGGGGATCCTTACTAGAAAGGGGGATAGAGGCAGGGACCCCACTGGGCCACCTTGAGCACCCAAAGAGACAATATACTTGAAGCACAAGCACAAGAATGTTAAGCGGTGGGAACCCGTTGTAACTGCCACGTGCCAGCGGGACCTTCCCTGCCATTTGTCCTGCTGGAGAAAACACCTTGCTATCACTTGGGCGTCCAGCTTCTCTTTAGGGCAAACGGCAGCGCCCCTTCTCCTGTCATCTCTTGCCCCATCCTTGCACCTACGGCCTCACACCTTCTTCTCCCGACAGAGCCCTGCCAGGACCTTACCCTGGCTCAGTTCAGCACCTAGAAGGGACCCCTTGGGCCTACCCCTGGGGGCCGCGTTTCTCTGACTCCATCCCTCCATGCCCTAGCTAGCCCAGCTCCCGCACCCCACACCTGTGCACAGGGCTGCAGGAGCTCACGGAAGACTGGCCCCGTGAAGGGTCCTGTGTGCGTGCGAAGCGGCCAGATGCTGCCAGCCCCCACCTTCCTTCTGGCCCCTGGAGTCACCAGGTGTCGCTTCTCCGCTTCTCAGGGCCCTGGCCAGGGACCAAAGTCCAGCGCAGGCTCCTTTCAAATTGAGTGACCTGGTTTTATTGGCGGGGGAAGGGGGAAAAGGCACATACTTCGCAAGATTTACATCCCCCAAAAAAAACAAAAACCCTGGGGAATTTCGCAGGATTCAGCATTTTTAATGCCTTAGGCGAGGCCAATGGGTGCGTTCCACTGTGTCCGGTGGGGAAACTGAGGCTTGGAGGGGCACTCGCGGTCACACGGCCCCTCTGGCGGGCGGGAACGCTGGCACGGAGTTGGGGTACAGGCTATTTGCACCCAGGTTGGCGGCTCCCGGGATCGACTGTCGTAGCGCGGTCGCCGCCGAGGACCGCGGCCGGGGCGCGGGCGGGCCCCAGTGCGCAGGCGCGGCGGCGGGAGGGACGCGCTCCGGGGCGCGCCGCGGGCAGCCGGCGCCAACGCCCGCCGCCCCGGCGCCTCGCCGCCCGCCGCCCGCCGCCGGCGCCGCCGCCCGCGCCCCGGCGCCCGGGCCGCGAGGGGCGCGCCGCGCGCGCCCGCTGCATGGCGCTGAGATGCGGGGGCGCGCGCGGCGGAGGCGCGGCGGAGGCGGCGCGGGCGAGCTGGGGCGCGAGCCGGCGCCGGGCCAGGCGGCCGGCGCGGGCTCCGGGCGTGCGACGAGGAGTTCGCTTGCCCCGAGCTGGAGGCGCTGTTCCGCGGCTACACGCTGCGGCTGGAGCAGGCGGCCACGCTCAAGGCGCTGGCGGTGCTCAGCCTGCTGGCGGGCGCGCTAGCGCTGGCCGAGCTGCTGGGCGCGCCGGGGCCGGCGCCCGGCCTGGCCAAGGGCTCGCACCCCGTGCACTGCGTCCTCTTCTTGGCGCTGCTCGTGGTCACCAACGTCCGGTCCCTGCAGGTGCCCCAGCTGCAGCAGGTCGGCCAGCTGGCGCTGTTCTTCAGCCTCACCTTCGCGTTGCTCTGCTGCCCCTTCGCGCTGGGCGGCCCCGCCCGGGGCGCCGCCGGGACGGCCGGGGGACCGGCGACCGCGGAACAGGGTGTTTGGCAGCTCCTTTTGGTCACCTTCGTGTCCTATGCCCTGCTGCCCGTGCGCAGCCTGCTGGCCATCGGCTTCGGGATCTTGGTGGCCTTCTCGCACTTGCTGGTCACAGCCACTTTGGTCCCCGCCAAGCGCCCACGTCTCTGGAGGACGGTAAGTGCTGCGGCGCGCCCCCCTCTCTGGTCTTGGACACACCTGCCCGGGCGGGACTGGGAATGCTTGGAGTCGGGCGCTCTCCTTCATATTGGGCGGGAAGGGAAACTGAGGCCCCGACTGGGGGTGGTGGTGGTCAAGGTCACTTCAACGAGTTGGGGACACAGTCGGGGCTGGCACCCTCGGGCCGGGCTCTCTTCAGAGTTACTGTCCACAAAGCGCCCCTGGGCGTGGAGTGTGGAGACGGGAGACGGGTGTGGAGAGAGGGAAAGGATTGGCCCAAGGTCAGGCAGTTGGTGAGCCGCCAAGCGGGGACCCCAGGGGTCTGCCGCTGTTTTGCTGCACCTATCCCCGCGGAGGGACTGAGAGCGGGCGAGCAGAGCGGGCGAGGAGAGCGGGCTCCGGGTCGGGCTCCATGGCTAGCTGTGCGCACAGCCCGGGGCTTCTCCCCGCGCGCCGAGCGCGTGCGAGGCTCGCCTCACAGTCCTGCGGACCTGAGGGGAGTCTGTGGGCGGTAGCAAAGGACTTTGGCCCCTTCAGTCTCCCTGGCCGCCTTATCGCGGACCGACTCCAGCCCAGAAGGGGCAGGGTTTGCCAAGGTCAAACACAGTCTAGTCCCTGCCGCCCTCGCTCGCTCGCGGTCGCCCTGACCCTGGCTCCGCAGTGCCCGAACTTTGTCACTGTCTTCCCCCAGTCAGGTGGGCGAGATGGTTGCAAGGGGGACACCGTTCGCCTTCCTCAGGGTTTTCCTGGGTCCCTGCTCCTCCATCTGCCAGAGGAAGTGGACCTGGGGGCCTTTGCCCCTTGGGGCTCTAGCAGCTTCCCCTTGCCCAACGCCCTTCACGCCGGCAGAGGCGGTATGTGGGGAGGCATTAGATGGCCCTGAGGAGGGTTTTGTTTCTGCCTCTAGCTGCAGTTTGCCAGGAGGGCGGTGTGAATGGGATGGGGTGGGGGACCCATATAAGGAAAGGAGGCAGTGGTGGGAACCGCTGGGGGAGAGACAAGGGGTCACCCAGGAAGCCAGACAGAGGGAAACAGAGAGAGGTTAAGGAAGAATAATGTGGGGCGGAGTGGGGTGGTGGGGTGGTGGTGGTGGTGAGGGAGTCAGACAGCCTGGCTTGGGGGACCAATGGGACCAACACCCAAGAACCTAGGGAGGTGTCCCCAGACTGTGATGCCAGGGGCAGCACATGGTCAGCGGGGGCCATCGAATGCACAGCCTGGCACAGGGACAGAGACATCATGGGACTTGTGTTTTAGGGCCAGAGACAGACCAGCATGTGCTCAAATCCATGGGCAGGGGATGGGAGGGAAGGGGGAGTACATGGAGTCAAACTGGCAAGGAGGGGGTTGGGAGGTGGGGAAAAGAGGAAGAGAAGCAGAGGTGAAGGCTAGAGACAAAAGGGCGTGGGTAAAGGCATGGAAAAGGGAAATGGCAGAGAACTGCATGCCCCAGGGAGGGGAGGAGGGCCAGGGTTCTCCAGCAGGCTCTTTCACTGCCTCCTGTGGGCAGCACATGGGCCTTGCCTGACCATTCTCAGGGGGCCACTCCATACCTCCTCACCCCTAAGTTCCCAGCTGAATGTGTTTAGCCTGGGCCTCATGCTGGCCCCCGTATCCAGACTGGTGTCCGAAAGATCGCTTCCCCACTCCTGCTAGAGGCCAGGGCAGTGGCAGAATGGGGAGGGGTTGAGCCTGGTCCCCGGGAAGCCCAGTGATCTTAGCCACACTGCATTCTCCCTGCGTACACCAGCGAGGCAGCTGGTGCAATAAATGGATGTATTATTGTCTTTTCCTTTTTAAATAAAGAATTTTCTTATATAGCCTCTAGTCATTCCTGTTATAGAATTAAAGATTTAAAAGACAGTGAAGTGAGAGTCTTTAAAGGTGCCTCTGGACAGGAGAGCTCTGCCCCTGCCCGGGGATAAGCTGAGCACTTGCTGCTGTGACTCTAGGGGGGAAGGAAGCCCCTGCTGGGAGCAGCGATTGTTAGGGAGCAGACATCTGGGTTTCCCTGCTACTAGCTGTGACTCCCTGGGCCGTACAACCCTTCCCGCACTGAGTTTCTGGTTCCCCACCTTTTTAAAGGGCATATTGACCCCCTGTAGGGTTGTAGTGAAGGTGAAAAGTTTTTGGAAAAGCAGCATGTATTGGAAATCTTCCGCCACTTCTAAATCATTTGGCCTCTTTAGAATGTTGGTATTCAAGTCCAGTGTCTGTACAGGTGGTAGTGATTTTTTTTTTTTTTGAGACAGAGTCTCGCTTTGTTGCCCAGGCTAGAGTGAGTGCTGTGGCGTCAGCCTAGCTCACAGCAACCTCAAACTCCTGGGCTCAAGCGATCCTCCTGCTTCAGCCTCCCAAGTAGCTGGGACTACAGGCATGTGCCACCATGCCCGACTAATTTTTTCTCTATATATTAGTTGGCCAATTAATTTCTTTCTATTTATAGTAGAGACGGGGTCTCACTCTTGCTCAGGCTGGTTTCGAACTCCTGACCTTGAGCAATCCGCCCGTCTCGGCCTCCCGGAGTGCTAGGATTACAGGCGTGAGCCACCGCGCCTGGCCTGGTGGTAGTGATTTTGATAGATACATAGTGATCAATGCAGGGAAACATACGGGAGGGGTCTGTGATCCCCCAGAGATTGTGTCTCCCAATTAGAGAATTCCAGGAGCCCTTGAAATCTGTCCTTACTGAGCTCTGCAACTTGGTACTTGAGATGAATGAAGAAGATGCCACACATTTACGAAGCATCGGTGTTTGCTGCTGTTCACGGCGTTACCACCCGCCTCCATTCAGACCCCTGCCACTCTGCAGTGCAGTCACCTGCTGACAGTGATATGTCCTCGGTATTGACTTCCAGGCAGGTAGCAGCCATGCTGGGCCCGGGGGGATGCCCCAGGAGGCTGAAAGATGGACCGAATGAATGTGGGAATCTGTGCAGGGGCTGGGAACAGCAGGATGCTGCTTCAGGGTGTGAGGTCCCCAACGTGGTCTCCTGGTTCTGAGCTGGATGAAAACACCAGGTGCCAGTTGCTCCAGAGCCAGGCTGGCTCGCTGGGCGAAGGAGCCCCTCCCCTCAGATTCCAACCTTTCAATGCCCCCTTGTCAAGGATATAGCCCTGAGGAGGCTGGGGAAAGCCTGCACTTCGGACTGAGGCCTGGGATCAGGTCCCTGCTCCTTGCTGTGGAGCAAGTCCCTTTGTTCTTTTTCTAGAGACTCTGTTCCTCTGCAGGAAGACCCTGGGGTCTCCTACAGCATTCCTGTGCCACTTTTGGTGCACAGGGCTCTGAGGATGCAGCGAGTGTGGTTTGGGGCATCCTGTTCCTCCTCTGTAGAACCCAGGCCAGCCCAGGACTCTGGAGGGCAGAGGAGAGAACTCAGAAAGCCAGGTGCACAGCTGTCAGCACAGGTGGAATTCAGTAACTATGCTCAGCTCCTCCCCCAGAGGATGTGCCTGATACTGACGTCCCAGAGCAGATAGGACTTTGGGGGCAACAGTCTTGTTCCCGGTTGGCCCCAGCACTGAGGAGGTACCCATAAATAAGTGCCATTGATGAATGTTGGCCAGAACTGAATTCTTTCCCTCTCCCAGCCCCTTGCTTTTGGGCCACTGGTTGTAGCTAAACAAAATACAACAATTCATTTTTACTTAGCTGAGTGACAGGACTAAAAGCATCCTGTTCAAGAGCTTCCACAGCCTGCTTAGAGTCAGAAGTGGGGAAGGCCTGCCAGGGTGGGCTGGGGGCGTGGGGTGAGTGCCCAGACGTGGGGGATGGGGAGGAGTGGAGAGGGGAGGTGCCAGATGTCTGAGCCATGTCCTTGCTGATGCCACTCACAGACTTAGCCCCAGAGGGGGCACCTGGGGAGGAGGTGTTGAGCTCCCTGATGTTGGCATGCTCAGGGACACTGAGGGGCAGGGAGTTGGTGGGGAAGTAAAGGCAGGAGTGTGGAAGAGGAGATCATTGTCTGAAGTGCTTGTGGAGGAGGAGGGGATCTCAGGATAAGGGCGCCCTGGGCAGGGGCAGGGCTGGCTGTTGGCTCAGGTTCCCCACCCCACCCACAGGGGTCCCCCTCCTGCCCTGCCCCCTTACATGCCTGGGAGGAGGAGGGTGCAGCTGTGTGCAGGAGGCAGACACAGCCTCTGCCAGCTGGGAGCGTCCTCCCTGTGTTACCTCCCTCCACACAGCCTCGAAATACCTGCTTTTTGACTAGTGTTAGGATTACTGTATTCTTATTTTATTTTTAAAGTAGTAAGGGTCCATTGTAGTGAGCAGAATGTGTTTTCAATTTAGTTGCTTACCATTGTAAATTAAATATATTTCAGTTTCTGCCTAGTTCTTAGCCGTAGGCAGGGTAACAGAAATCACGATTATCGCCGAGAAATAAATGGGAGTCAGCCGAAATTCCCCTGTGCAGCTCCAGTTCTGCCTGAGCTCTTGTGCAGAACCGTGAGCTGCTGGGAGGCGAAGCAGCCTAAACCAGCGCGCAGAATCGCAGCGCGTGGGGCCCTGGATGACCTGGTTGTTCATGGCAGAGCCTGTGGCCTAGGTGTGCTCTGGCGACGCCAAGCCGCAGGCCTTTGCGCGGCTGTGCTCACTGCCCAACACAGCGCGTCCTCCCGGCTCAGTGCTTGCTTCACCGGGGGAGTCTGTCCCCATGCCCTGCCCTCCAACCGCCAAGCCCCGACGGCCCCTCCCTCCGCTGGTTCCACCTCCTTCACCGGCCCCTTCCCTTGGTGGACCACACCCCCTCTGGCTGGCCCTCCTCCCCCACTGGCCTCTGCTCCAGAACCTCCCACTGGTCCCTTTCTGCCCACTGTTCCTAGCCTGGTCCTGTTACCGTGGAATACTCACCTGCCTGTGCACCCACCTGTCTTGGCTGAGCCGAGTGCTTACAGGGACAGGGCCAGTGTCAGGGCCAGGGTCAGGGTCAGGGTCAGGGTCAGGGAGGGTGATAGGTGAGTGCCTTTCCTGGTGCAGGGGCTGAGCTGGGTGTGGA